CATAAGGAAACAAAAATGGAGAGATCTTAAACCGCACCAACAATAACCAAATCAAAAAGTACTTTGCTTATTTAATTTGTTACTTTTGCGTTTTAGTTTTAGCATTCATTTCTTTCTGTAATAGAGAGGACGTCACTATGGCAACGGGTGCGTTTGAGTTTCAGTTTCCCCAGTCCTAGCTGTTGGAGTGGATGGATTTGACGACTTTTGAAAGGAGTTAACCCCCCCCCCCCACACACACACACTCACGCACACACGCCCGCGTACGCATTTCCCCCTTTCTTCTGTTTTACAAGTTGAATCCTAGTTTTCATCTATTCAGGTCACTCTGTGAGTCAGGGCCACACTGTTGTCTAGACACGATTCAAAGTATTTTGGTCGATAGCACCCTATAGCTATGATGACGCTCTCTGTCCTAGAGGAAATGACCTCGGCCCATATATGAAGTCAGAAATAGCTCTCAGAACTATTCCTGTGAAAAGAGTTGTCGAAGAAAGATGCGTGCATGTTCTTGGCGTTTTTGTTTGCTTTTTTTGTTTCCTTTTTTTTTGTAGGTTTCAAAAAATAATTTTGCTATTTTTTTTATAGATCTAGATCTAGATGGCTTTAGAATGTCATTACACATCAACAAATTTTAATTGAAAAAAAATATCTTTAAAAAAATGGAGTATTTTATGAAAAGCGTTTTTACGTTCCCATCAACACAATTCAGATAATTTAGGAGGCATGCTCCCTGCCTTGCCTGTCAAGGCCAACCCGGGCTGAGAGGGATAGACAGATACAACATCCCAGCAGAAAGACCGAGATGCTCGATTAAAAATTTTCCCTATTTGGGAACCGAACTCAGGTCTCCTGCTTGCGCCCGCGATGCACCTAACCACTACACCACAGACGCCGTCCTTTCTTACTTTTTGGGGTTAATTTTAATGGCATTATCCAAGACGTCCACCTTTCTAAGACTAAGACAGCCATCTTTCTCCTCGACAATGGGAGGCCGTTTTCGTCTTGGACAGTTTCGATTGTACTTCATAAAGGCGTGTAATCTCGATGTTTATGGTTACAAATAAATGAATAAATAAATAAGTACAATTTAATAATTATATGAATAGATAGATAAATAATTAAATAAACAAACAAATAAACGAATAACTAAATAATGAATAAATGATTAAAAGAATAATTCAATGAATGAATGAATAAATAAATCGATACAAAAATAAATCAATAAATAAATAAGTAAATAGATAAATAACTGCCCTGTATGACGCCGTGTCTGTCTGTCCCCAGGTGTGTGGCTGTTGTCTGGAGCCCTCTCTCTCCCACCGCTGTTCGGCTGGGGCGTCTACGATTACCTCCCCTACACGTCGCTCTGTTTCTGCGACTGGTCAACCTCTTTGTCTTACGCCACCTTCATGATCGCCGCCTGCTTTTTCTTGCCTTGCACAGCCATGATGATCTGCTACGTCAGCATCCTGCGCACGTTTTTCCAGAGCAAGCGAACCCTGCAGGCTTTCGCTGTGACAAACGGTGACGCGCACTCTAGCAAAGTTAGCGGGCAGGTCTCTGAGGGGAGTGAAGGTGCGAGCCGATCCGTAGTTTCAGCTGAACCGCCAAAGACTTGTCCCGAGCGAGTGAAGAGTTCAAAATGTACTAAAGTTATTCTGGAACATTCCCCCGAAACGGCAGCTGCCCTTAAGCGGATGGAAGCCCCGGATGATGATTCAAAATGGTCAAATCACGCCTCGGTACCTTCAAATACGACGGCTATCATCAATCATCGCGGCATCGAAAACGAGAATGGATCAAAACGTACACTTCACTCTTCCGGACATTCGAAGAAGATTACTTTTGGACTCGAGAGTAAAATGGAGTACAAAAACGAAGAAGACGACGTGGTATTCGTGGAAGTTACATCCGGTCTCACAGACCAGCAGAATGAGAATGTAGAAGCTCCCCTTCACCCTGACAAACGGCACAAGAACGACTCAGATAGAAGTACGGGTCTGTACTCTAAAGTCAACGCCGTCAACTCGTCTTTGGATGAAAAAAGCGTAGAGGCGTCAAGGGAAAGTTCCTCGGATCTCATCCCCTCCTCGCCCAAACGATTGCCGTCCAGGCGAGGTTCGACAGCTTCCAGCTCCAGACACAACAGTGCCAGCGAGCCACCGAGTGGTCCCGGCTCAGACAGACAGAGAAGTGACAAGACGTCGTTCCAACCCAGTACCCAGTTTCTTAACATTGATTTAGAAAAAGAAACGAGTACTGACGTTGGTTATAAATCAGTTTCAGAAGTCGATGAAAAAACAGGTGAAGTAACTGCCGTAGAACCATGCTCTCCGATACCAATAATCGACTGTCTCTGCGGTCAATGCGATGAGAAAGACTGTGGTTTTCTTTTTGAAAGCGGAGCAAGAAGTTCGAGCGAGGGAAATCCGAGCGATCATTCGATTAAATCAGCAGCTGCAGCTTGGGTTCAAAGTGTGCCAGGCTCGTGTGGTGATGAGAATAGAGGTGAGAAAACGGAGAAAAGACACCCACATGTATTCCCGGAAGCTGACCCGGCCTTTCAGCCGGAGATGCACAAACAACGAAATGACGTCATCGAAGCTGGGAAGGAAAACGAGCAGGACGCCGAAGAATTTTCTTGCTCAGACCAGGCAGTAAGGCACGCTGCCAGCAGCCGTGAATCATCACCGATTGGCCAACACCTTCTCCCTGATGATGACACGTCTCAAGAAAATAAGACATCTCCGGAAAAGCCTACAGCTCTGGAAAATCACGCGCCTCTGGACAATCGTTCCTTTACCCTCCGCCCATTCTCTGAGTTTGAAACAGACTTGCACCTAAACGGGAGCATACATTCGTGCCCTCAATTAAAAAGAACACCTGATTTCCAACTTGACCAAGGTATACGAGAAAGTAGAAAAAGTGTCACAGAAAGAGAAAACCAATACCCACTTCTGAACAATCTAAACAGGCAGGCTGTTATATCTCCAGGCACAACAAAGTCGTCAGTGAGCCAAGTGGACAGATATAACAAGCCAACTGTTGATGCCCCTACTCGCCAAAGACAAGTATTCATCTCTCGGGGAAATACGTCCATTCCCGGCGCTCTCAATAATTTGTCCAGCATTCCAGAACACCTTCACTCCTCGACATCTCACCTCCACTTCTCTGGCAGTGATAAACAACACCATAATATTCCAGCGACATCCAGTTCCCTCCCCAGTCTCTGCACAGACAGATATTACCCCCCTGTATCTACTAGTGGTTGGGACAAAAGTGAGAATGCGTTGTCCTTCGTAAACGTGTATGCGACTTCCCAGTGGAGTCGCATCAAACAAACATTCAGAGACGTTTCGTTCCTGGAATCTCACAAGATTCAACCAAACAACGTCCCGGCGCACACGGGACTGAACAAGCACTTCGTTCCGAGGCTGATGAAGTCAGTCAGTAAACCGAGCTCCAACGACAGAGACGCCAAAGTTACTTCTACTAACAGAGATCAGATCATGCCACGACACCCTGGCTCCAAGCGCAATCCATTTATTCACATACATCTCACTCGGCCAGACTCTGATGGGGGGAATACAGATGGGGTACAAAAGCAAGACAAACATCAAAGAGTTTCTATCGGGAAGCAGAATGGAACGCTTTTAAGAGTAGGGGAAGCAGAGGCAGAAAGAGGAGGAGGCGAAGGAGGAGGAGGAGAAGGAGGAGGAGGAGGAGGAGGAGGAGAAGGGGGAGTAGGGAGAGTAGTTGGAGGAATTGAACTAGGAGGAGCAGGAGGCGCAATAGTAGAAGGTATAGGAAGAGGGTGGCGTTTAACGAAGAAAAAATTCCTCGCTCCGCCAGGCCCCATCCCCAAAAAGCGGACAATGTCAAGGTCAGACCGGCGCAGACGCGAGGAGTACCAACTGTCGGCGTCTCTTCTGGTGGTCATCGTCATCTTCATTATCTGCTGGTTCCCGTACTGCGTGTCCATGTTCGTGTCCCTCATGTCTCCCAGCTCCTCCACCCGGGCACTGGACATGACGTCCATCCTCCTGGGCTACTTAAACAGCTGCGTGAACCCTATAGTGTACGGCTTGATGAACCGCCGGTTCAAGGCCGGCTACAGGCGCCTCTTTGCCAGGCTCAGGTGTGGGAGGAACCACCTGCTCAAGATCAGGAACAGAGTCTGGCCCAGTCAGACGGGAACCTCGCCTTCACACAATTCTTGACAGTCTTCTATTTATCGGTTTAAGCTATTATTTATTTATTTATTTATTTATTTATTTATTTATTTATTTATTTATTTATTTTTCTACTTATTTATGTGTCTGTTACTTATTTATTTATCTATTTATTTATTTATTTATTTATTATTAGTCATTTAATTTATTTATCTGTTTATTATTTATTTATCTATTTATTTATTTATTTATTTACTTATTTCAGTATTTATTCATTTGTTTATGGGAAGAGGGGAGTCAGCCTGTTTTGGTCTTAAGGGGTAGGTCGAAACAGTCTGCCTCGAGATCCTAAATCCTAAAATTACCTTTTTTAAAAGGAGTTTTACAGCACTTTTTGCACAAGTAGAACACACAGACGTGCCGCAGATTAGAGGTTTACTGAAGAATAACAAACACAGAAAAGAAGAAGGTGAGATAAGGACGATAGCACAGCAGAGCACCCACCAACCACCACTCGATTTCTCTGACGGGAACATAAATATTATCACGTTTCGTGTCTCCATAATATTTCTTCTTGTATTCAGTAATCCGAAGAACAATCATGGAAAAATACTTTCATTTCTTAGATAACAACGTTAAGTGGGTTCATGATCCAGCTCTGAACTCCCCGCTCGGTAGGGACCGCCACGGGCAGCAGGTGGCGCCCGAGCGTCATCCATCCGGGAAAGATCAGGGAAACGTAGCTTTTTTTTTTAGCGTCTCCGAGCAAAGGAATGAATGGAGAACTTTGATCGCCGATGTCTGTCGCAGATCTGGCACTGGATGGTGATGATGATTCAGTAACCCACTTAACCTGGATCTGTCCTGAGAGGCAGGGTCAATACCCCCCCCCACTTACTTAATTACCTATCTGTTTCAGTTGGGGTGTAAACACCGAATTTTAATATTTATAGAATTCTGTGGTTGTAAAACATTTACGAGGGCCCTCGTGGCTTCGAGGTAAAGTAAGTTGTTCGCCTCTCATTCAATAGGTCCCGGGTTCGAATCCAGAAAGCGACGGAATTTTTTCTTGTCTAAAATTTGTCTCCTGTCACCTCATTTCCTGCTCTCTAGCAATGTTCTGTCGTCTGCTTTCGTCTCCACTTTCTGCCCCACCCCTCACCTCCATTGCTCCCTCCTCTGGACTCCTGACTGTTTCTGCACTCTTTCTACTGCTACTCCTTGGCTCCTTCTTACTGCTGTCTTACAGCCACATCTCTGATCTTCTGGTAGGAAATATCTACTCCTAGCCTTCTCGGACAAGGGCTAAAAATCTCGGAGGTCCCGTGTGCAAGTTGCGCACGTTAAAGATCCCTTGGTAGTCCAAAATCGATAGGAGTAGACTTCAGCTGCCATGGGGGCAAAATTCAAAATTTCCAACCAACTGAAAAATATTTAATGTGTCCTGCACTCTTATATGACCTTATGCAGTTGCGAGCGCTGTAAAACCCTTTTAAAAAATTTACAAAGAAGCAAGACGAACAAGTTGGATTACATGTTGTTCTTCTACATCTACAATTGCCAGCGGAAAAGTCAGTTGTTTATCTTGCTTCAGCCTTTGCTTTGTTATTTTTCCTGAGTATTATCCTTGTACCAAAAAGTAATTATTGGTCATAACATGACAATATTGCTGTACATTGTATAAATGTAAGTATATTAAATAGAGAGTGTTGAAAGGTATACTGGTTTTTGTTGTTGTTGTTGTGAATTAAATCCTTCAGAACCCCCCGGGGCAGTGCCACTGACTGTAGTGTCTTTAGGCCATTCCCTAAGGGGGGACATTTCTCGTTCAA